TATTAAATATTGTACATTCTATGCCACCAAAGGAAAAAAAAAAAGTAAAATCTCTCTTGTAAAATTCAAGGAAACCAGATATGTAACAACAAATTGCTTCAGAAATCATTCTCCTGCAGGGATTAAGTCATTAACGTTTGACTAGTGTTGGCTGATGAGCAGATCTTTGACAGACAGCGTCCCAGTATCAAAGAATTTGGCGTCCAAATTGTACAAAGATGAGAAGCAGGGGCAGTACCAATGACGGAAGCATTCCAGGTGTGGGGAAAGTACATCAGGGAGGTGCTTTTCTGTTGCTGTGAGGACTCTGAACGCTAAGGGGGTATCTACTTGAGACCACACAGCTTTCTTGGTAGAGCTATTTCACCTGGATGAGGGCCACTCTCCCACCCACCCCGCAAGCCAGGGCACCGAGAGCAATACCTCCACACGGCACTAGACGTGCTCTAGAGCAGGTTGCAGGCTGTGGCCTGGCATGTCTGCGTTGGCACCGCATTCCAGATCAAAAGTGTACTTCTAAAGCAAATCTCTTGATGGTGCCCACACACTGTGCTTTGGCTCACAGCACAGAACAGTCTCTGAATACTCAAACTGGATTCCCGCTAGATGAAACCGAACCAGAAGGTGAGCTCCAGCAGCACGCCTCGTGTCCGAACCACTAATGGCAGTGGTTAGGGGTTCACTGACCACGAGGCCAGACTAGCACAGTCAACAGTTAAACCTCCTGAAATAAGATAGTTCCTAGGCAGGACCTGTTTTGTTCTTCAGACCTACTCTTCTCGTACTGCACCGATTGGTAACATAGGTACGGCCAGTAACTCAGGCACTGCGAGTTGTACTGCTGAAGAGCCCATGGCATCTGCAGGCTTTCCCCATAAATCAGAAGCTCCCCTCCCATTACTGTGCTCTTCAACATCTGGAGTCGATTTTGCATTTGCATTTTGCAAATTTGCAAAACTATGAGAATGTGGAGTCAGGCCATTCCACCCTGCATCAAAGGGATGCTCTCAGTCCTCCTTTTATTGGGGGGTGGGGCGGACACGGGACACACACAACATGACAACGACAATGCTCTGCCCCTATTTACCCTATCTTTAAATTTAAAATGGTGAGGGAAAAGAAGGGGTACTAGAGTAATCCCTTACGGTTAGAGAAGTGGAAAGAAGGATTGAGGGTAAGTGCGTGCTGCAGCTGAGAAGCAGCCTAGGTTAGGCCACTGGAGGCCTCTGCTGCGGTGCCTTGTTTGCTGCCTCTGCTCCACCTCCCTCCTTCACGCGCACTTGGGCACCTCTGCCTTTGGTGCAGTCGCAGACTGTTGGTCCACGTGCACTTCTGTGGCAGTGCCGGTGTAAGCTTTCCCTTTTGCTCTCTCACTTTAGGTGCTCTGTTGTTTTGAGGGATTGTTTTTCACGGTAGGTCAGTTCTCGGCAGGGTCATCCTGTGACCACGCAGATAGCTCTGTTGGCACAGCGAAGGGAGTGGTATGGAGAAGGTAATGAATGAATGGCTAGGGACCAGGCTCGGAGGAGGAGCCTGCTTACAGTGGCCTACAGGGTCTTGCTGCCAGATGTCTATTTCTCCTTTTCGTTGACCTAATACTGCTGCGGAAAAGGCGGTGGATTTTAAAGAGATAGCATGCTTGGTCTGTGGCGCTGCTGGTGGTGTGCAACATCAGGGTAAAAGCAAATCTTTGCAGGAGAGCAGAAGGGAAGATTTACTGAAGCAATATTTTGAAACATTACTGTGAGAAAACAATGGAATTATCACAAAATGGAATTTCACACTCCCAGCAAACCCCCGCCAGAGACAATGGACTGACAAACGGCGTGCAATGGAAAGCAAGAAGACAAGTTCCGCTCCACAAGTTTCACAACCGGTCCTCTCATACCTACCACTAATATGTCTGACCTACTAAACTCTGTGTGTGACAACAGTTCAACAAAGTCATGTTTTGCAGCAAAAAAACAAGTTTAGCAGGTTTTTCTTTAAAAAAATTCTGCAATATTCTGACTAATTCTGAGTCTGTTTAAAAAAAGAACAAATTTATTTAATAACTTCAACAAGCAAACAAAATCATAAGAAAGCTATAAAGCTAAACTGGTCTTGCTGCCTAGCATTTTAAACAGTAAAAGCTTTACAGTCAACTCCAAAAACTATCAACAAACACCTACAATCTTAATTCATGTTTTGCCATGATGTTTTCATCAGATCAAAATGTTTGACAAAGAAGGGGTACAAGAAGGGAGGAAGTATAGCAGGAAGGATAGATAATAGAAGTGAGTGGAAAAACGATCAAAATGCGACCAACAGGGATTTTCTGAAAATGCAGAAAAGAAAGTAGTCATTTTGTCTGGGACAAAGACATCTGGAAGCAACAGGGACAAAAACAGGGCAAGGGGAAAAAAAACCTAAACAAAAAAGTGTAAAAGAAGGGGAGACCCTCATCCAGCAAAGCGTTTGCACGTAGGCTCAGTGTGAAGCAAAGCCTAAAGACGAGCTCGAACTGAGTGCGTTGCTGGATTTAGAGGAGGGAAAACAATAGCAAGAGACAACACCACGTTGGCAGGTACCTACCAACAGCTTGCCGTTTTCAAGAAAACATTTCCTTCAATTGCTATTTCGGAGCTTTCTAGCTAAGCCTGAGGTTTCGGGCTGTAGAGTGCTGCTGAAGGGGACACAGCAACTCTTGCCAGACTAATTGCTTTACGACAGACCACCTAAGATCGGAGGAGACCATTTTCAATCAACTGGTCCCTAACATAGCCCTTTTGAACTTTGTAAATGTCAAGGAAGAGTTTTGGAGAGACCATTTTGTCTGGGAGAGGTCAGTGGTACCTGGTCCCTAGGCGAGGCCTGTGTGTGTATGTTTATCCCCACTAAAAACTGGTTTGCCTATGGGAAGCACCGTTTTACTACTGAACTTGGGGAGAAAAAACACGATAGGAATGTCCTTAGGACATTTTTGGGTGAGGAACTTTTACAAACTTATTCCAAAAGCCCATTAAAAATATACCTAAAAGAAAACACAAGAAAACAGAAGAGAGCAAACAAATTGCCCCCAGAAAATCATTAATAAAAAGCAAAGTAAAAGTAACATTATCAAATTATATATATAATTGTTTTCATTAAAAAAGAAGAAAAAAAGTACACCTACCGCCTGCAGTTCTGGTCAGGTTCTCCCCTCCTCCCCCCACAAAAAAAAGTAAAAATAAAAAAATACAAATAAAATAAATTAACCCTTTCATCAGCCTGGTTCCTAACTGAAACAGTTTCTTCCCCTGCTACTCTATTGACTGAATAAATCTGTTAGAAGTCTTAGGAAAAAACTGCAATTCTTCGGATAAAACTGAAAGTAGAACTTTTTTCCCTGCTCTTTGTAATCCTGGAATTATTCTAACAGTAGGCTTTCCCTGCACTGGTGAGAGGAGATGGGTGCCAGGTACAGGTCTCCTGATCAGAAGGTCAGGATTATTCCAGCTGAGTTGACAAAGGGTGTTTGAATGAAAGTTATTGCCTTTTTGGGACTTGCTCTGATTTAAAAGACATCACTTTGAACTTGAAATCAGCGCTTTCTCTCTGAACTGTAATGTGAATTGCTTATCATTTAGTTCTGCCTAATGATTTAGATAGTATCAGTCATTAACTCTAATAATAATGGCTCTGAGTCACCAGAGTACTTAAATATGCAAATAGCATCATTTAGGCCAACAGGAATCACACGCTCAAAGTTAAATATGTGTTTTTAGTGCTTGGGCAAATGGGATTCCCAATATACTCGATGAAGTAGAAATGTTATAAATCACGTTCGTAAGATATGTACTTAATAATTAATTTTAGGTTTTTTAAGAAATTGCAAGAACTGTGGCAGAAAGATGCTATAGAGTCCACGTGAACAGAATTTAACCTTCAGCAATGGGAACTGAGTAAGGGATGGCAGATTTGCACGGCAGCTGGTACGAAGCATCCAGAGTTGTATGTTCTGCCTTTCAGGCAGCTGGGCAACGTCCTCTGCACCCCTCAGCACTTTGCCAGATCTTTATTTCCCTTCAGTGAATGTATTAAAACATATAACAGTGGAATTTAACCCTCGCGATCCTTATTTTCCATCTGGAAGTATATCTGTTGAGAGGTACCCACCTCTCAAAGGTGGGTACCTAAAAAGGGCCTTAATGGGCCAGCAGAATAATATTTGTGGAGGGCTCCAGACAAAATGCATCCAGTGTGCGCGGTGGAGACCAAAGCAGAAGTACAGGAAGCAAGGAATTATTCAGTGAAACCAGATTTTTTCCACACCACATTTTCCTCCTCTGACAAGGTATTTCATGCCTTCAAAATCCAGTATGGTTTTCCCTTTTCGGCAAAAAAAAGGTAATTTCTTTATAACTGAACAGGAGAAGCAAGTTTGTGATGAAAAGGTTAAAGATGGAATCATCAACGATATAGGTGGAAGTTTGTCATCTGGTAACCAGAAACGGTAGCAAAAAGTTTTATCATGTCCTCTCTGAGCAGCACTCCAAACCGAACATGCGGGGTTTGATTGATTTTTCTAAGGATAATTGTTCAAGAAAGATTCCTTTCTTGAGGATCCCCCACAGAAGGATGGATCAAGGATCCCCCCACAGAAATATTGTCTATGTCTTGCACCCATTTATACAGCAGCTGCTGGAAAATGAGCCTAGTTCTTCATCTGAAGAGTCTGACCACAATAATAGAATGAAGTGAAAATGACCCAAGAAAAAGAATATAAATGGTGTCATTTTCGAACCCCGCCGCTGGCCTCTGGGAGAAGACAGAAAGCAAAGCAGAAAGCGTTGGCAGGCCGAGCTCCCGCAGCCCCAGCAGGCAGCATCTGGGCACAGATTCCTGGCGTGCAGTTGAAGAACTCTTCCCAAGCTCCGGGGAGGGAACTTGCAAAACTTCTCCAGCAAATCTTCAGGAAGGTCCTTCTTCTCCTTTCATTCTGCTGTCATTTCCCAAGCTTCTCCACCCTCAGACTTGTCTCACTTTTTGGCTATCAGCCAAGGAGTTTGACCCTTGAAGTGGCAGACAAACGGTTTCACATGAAAACGGCCAGGCAGAATTAACAGTCATCAACAGTGACAGCAACCCAGTTACAGGTTTTAGTAGGGATGGACCCTGAAACTAAACTGTCAGATTCAGGGTGGTGCAAACCCAGCTTCTACCGTTTGGGTTTTTCTTGAAATGCAAGGCACTCACGTTTGGGAAGAGCAGCTAATCAGTGAAGTTTCACTGACTCGCAGCCTCTGGTTTATCCCCAGTGGCTGATGAGATCGTATCAATATGAGGGGCTGTAGGAACAGCAATCTGAATCCATCTACTGCAGTTTAAAAAAAAACAGGCTGCGGTCTGCAGCAACCACAGGGAACGTGTGTCACCGTTTTCCTACCTCTATGACAGGTGAGTGGTTATCTGACATACACTTTTTCCCCAGTGCTAGATAAGCTGTCTTTTGTCTACTATACTTCAGTGCAACTGCTGCAAATAACCTCAGGTCCTTTCCCTCTCCCTGTGTGTGTGCCGCATGAGGCGCTGTGTTTTCTTGGTAGTCAGCTGCGCGAGACACTCGTGACTCAATGCCCAACAGAGGCAAAACTTGGAGAGGCACTGTGGGATTGCCAAAATACCCACACACGCTAGGCACCGTCTGTCAGCATTTAGTGCCACAGGCTGAGCTCACAAGAGCATTTAGGTGTGCCACTCCTACTTAGGTGCCTGCTTCCTAGAGAAATCTGTGGGAATTAGCTACCTCAGTGCCCTTGAGAATCGGGTCTAAGAGCTGAGTTTTCTTCACAGCTGAAGTCTATCAATACCTTTTGCCAAGATGCAAAAGGAGCTGCTGGTTTGCAAGTGAAAGTAACAATTAAACAAATTTTCAAGTCAGTAGACTCTCCTCCAAAATACCATTCTCAGAAAGGTTTTAAAGTGCTTTTTGCTGAATTAAGTTCAGCGTTTTAAGGGTACGCCAAAGGAAGCATTAAACAAGTCTCGGAAGGTCATGAATTCTGCCCACAAAAAGCACCTTTAGAGTCCAGCAGCTAATCTGAAGCCCAACCAATGCTATGAACAGAATGATCCGAGGTAACAAAGAAGAACAAGGTAGTAAGGGTGAGAGCATGTGTTGACACTCTGTGTGTGTGTCTGTGTTTTGCTGACAGAAAATAGCCAAGCCCTATGGAAGCTGCGGCACCAAAGTTTCTCGTGGTTTGCAGTGGTGTAAGTCAGGAGCATCTCCACTGATAACAGAAGAATTATGCTGAGGCAAAGCTGGAAGTAAAGAAAATCAAACCTCTTTTGCTCAGACTGTCCCTCCTCCCCTGCTTCTTTGCTGACATTAAGTCTGGTACTTTCAAGAGTTCTGGCAACTGCATTTCAAGGTCCCCTGTGCCTCAGGCAAAAGCTTTCTCTCTCACAAATAGATCAGTCGAAAACCAGCCCAGGAAATAAAACAGATAGAGTATCATCTCGAGACTCCTTTACCTTTCAGTAGCTGTGTCAAGACAAGGTAACAGATGTATGCTTTGTTTGCTTTTAGATCAGACAAACCCAAGCAAAGACAATCCCATGCAGCGCAATCACAAATAACAGTTACAAAACAAAAACACACTACAGACACCAAAGGGAACAGGAGGCATTGGCAGGTTCTTCTAGGGCTCTGTAAGCTTTTGAGGATTAAACATAGCCAGCCTTTTTAGAAAGGCCTGCAGCCTTCAAACTACCTACCTTGTGGGCCAAGTGCTACAAGACCAGAGTAGAAATTCACCGCTGCCGCTACTATAACCTTCCAAAACCAAGGCTGCCATCAGTATACCTGGTCGGGTCTTTAGTAACTGTTTTGTGTTTAACAGGTATGTAATTAAAACACCAGAGTTGTGTGGCATTCCTTTAAATAAGTGCTGTTCCAATTAGCTAAACTTCACAGCTGCAAAGCCTTATAACGGAGCTGGGTCTTATGTTAATGAGGTATATTACTGAGAAAACACAAGAATCCCTTGCTGCTCTGCAGTTCATTTTCTTTCTGTGCCATTTCAGCTCCAGTACCCCAAGCATCTCACGAAAACATCATACACGGAAAAGTTGCATCCAAAGGACAATGTTGGCATGAGAAGAAATGGTTGTAAGTATCATGAACTGGTTTAAGTTGAAAGTTGCAAGGAGTTTCCTAACTGCCAAAGCAATCTGAGTCGGGAACAGCCTGCGGGATGGGGCAGCAAGGGACACAGGGGGGTAGAAACCTCTCTGGTTTTTAGATGAAGTTCAATAAATTTCTGAAGGGGTGAGGTGCCCGATGGAGTGCAACAGTCAGGGGCTGGGCTCGGCTCCTTGGGCAGTCCCTGGCAGGCCTTTTCCTTTGCATACAACAGAAGCGCATCTCTTACGCTGGTGTTTTACTCTGAAGGCGCTAAAAGGCTGTATGGAATCGGTTGGAAAAAATAAATAATTAATAGTTTGTAAACAGATGAATAGTTGAGTACAGGGGTTGAATAGCTGAGTATAGGAGGTGGTTGGTGGTAACCACTTCAGCTGGCACAGGTGTAGCCAGGAGGAGCGGTTGTGAACACAGCCTGTGAGCCATATGAACAGCACTGCAGGAACTCTGGTGGTAAAAACTATACGGGGACGCGGTGGGAGAGGGTGTCCTTTTGTAGTGGCAGCATTATGCAAAGAGCAGGACTTCAGTGGACCAGTCTAATCAATGAATTACCGCTTGTGTTTCTCCATTGGGATCTTTAAATACTGATAGCTTCTCTCTATCCCCCTGAAACTTCTGGGTTGCAAACTTCTTTCCCCCTTACGTGAAGGACCAAGGAAAGTGGACGTGTTTTAGGGAATAGATTTAGGCTTCCACTCCTTTGCTCATTTTCTAAGAAAAGTATATTGTGATGTTCACTTTAGTCTGATAGTATAATTTTTCTTGATGGGTATTTTAGACTTGAGACATTAACAAAGGTAGGTCAAGAAGGACAATTAAGATGTACATATGCAAATTATAATGACACGCTCTGCAAATTTGCACGTGACCTTTGGTTAACATTTAAAAAAGCCGTGTGGATTGATTTATCTAATAAACATCCATTATGATGTTATCAAGGTATTCTGCCACATGCTTAATTTTAAATGAGGCTTTAATTAAGCTACGTGCAGGCCTACAATTTAGAAGGATGTTAGAATTTCTTGCCGACCAGGGCTCGTTGTCATGAGGGTTATTCCAGCTCGTGGGAGGTGCTCTATTTTATTTTTAGTTATTATTATTTTTATTTATTATTATTTCCAGCTCATGGGAGGTGTTCTATTTTAGCCAGAGGCAAGAGACCAAGAGATTCTCTTTGTACATGCTAACTCCACAGCTCTTGCGGAAGGTGTTACCATTCCTGCATGGCCAAGGAGCGGCCGCTAGAGGAGCTGGCGGGGGGCTGCGCTTGGCTGTCTGAATCTGGTCATGAAACAGACCTGGTCTGATAATTATTAATCATGGACTCTCTACTATCCCAGTGTACAGTAGCTACTGTGAGTTTTTCCAGCAATACCTTAATTTAGTCACCACAAAATTGTTAATATTTCACTTTAATAAAAAATACATGATGTTGTGAAATAGTCTTGAATTATTCCAGCTTGAAAAATGAAAATGACCTTTAAATCTATACAGGGCAGTTCCTTTGGGCACTTTTAATGCAATAATTTAGTAAGTTCCTATATTCATCATGTGTGCACAAATATCATGTAAATATTACAGCTGTACTCCATGACAAAAAAAGCGTAATGCAGACATAGAATTATACAGAGAACTGACAAATGGGGAAGAAGGGAGGTCTAGTATTTTCTGTACAAAAAATACGCAGCTTTTTCATAATTTGTAAAAATGCGTAACTGTCGGAATTTCAGAGAAGAACACTGTATAAAAATAAATATTCTATGTACAATAACACACACAGGCCAGTCCAGGGTTAGAATCATCACTGCAAAAGAAAACATAAACGGGTGTTAGTGACAATTCACTAACGATTGTTAGTGACAGCTCAGCAGGGGGGGAAGGACCACTTCACGGGATGGAAAGACAGTGGGACAGCATTAGGGAAGCTGGCTTGGGGGTCTCCAGGAAGAAAAGAAATGGTGCTGGGTCTCAGCAGAGATCCTTTTCACTTCCCTGGGCAGTGAGGATGGGCGGTTTGATCCGGGCTGACTCTCTACCTCCGCTTTCTTCCTGTCACTGTGGCTTGAGTACTTGGCATTAATGCGCATAGCAGGTACTGAAGGTGGGCTAGACCCTGAGGAGTGGCAGATGGGTCTATGGGAACCTCAGAAGGGGACTCCTGAGGCAGCTGAACCACCAGAAACAAATTTCTGGTTTGGAGTGGAGGGGACAGGTACTTACACCCCCCTTTCAGTGCCAGCCCAGAATCGAGCTAACAGGCCTGTTCCCTTGGAGCGGGGTCTGCCCCAAGCCCTGAGCTGCAGCCCAGCTGCCAGGCCACCCCTCAGCAGGAGCACTGGGGGGTCTGGTGCTGAGAGCTCCGCGGGGGCGTGCAGAGGCACCGACCTGCAGCTCATTCACTCTGCTGAAAGCAAGCTGTGAACCTCTGCCCCGCTCCCACCAGCCTCCCGTGGCACCCGGGTTACCTGGGGTATGCCGGCTCCCAGCCTCGGGTGGTAGAGTCGACTATGTGGCAATCTAATTTTTGTGCAAGTATTGGACCACTTCAAGGCCAGGGAGCTCAAAGGCCACAAGTACAATTCTCTCCCTTTTAGCCTATAAAACTAAACAGCAATATACAAACAAGGGAGAGTTTTGCTTGCTGCTTTTCAGGGGTATGGTCCTGGAAATCCCATGCATGCCTCCACACCTCTTTTGCTCTTAGCCAGGCTCATTGAAAAACATCAGCAGGACCTGCAGGACTGCCAGCTCAGCACAGTCACAACACTTCCAGGATTATTTTACCTTATTCCAGCAGCCTTGAACTGGAAGGCCGTCTTCTCCCTGCAAAAAAGACGGATGAAATAGCAGTTTAGGACACAGAAAACAGTGCAGAGAACAAGGAAAGAAGGAGTGGGTCAACTATTACAGCTGCAACAAACAGTCTGAACCAGGGCTGGAGGAATAGTCTGAAAGATATTCCTCACCCCTTTGGAGTGACCCAGACTTCTGGCTGACATAACCAGTGTAGCTTGAAGCAAGGGCCGGGGCTGAAAAGGGGTGTTGCCTGCAGGCTACGCAAGGAACTTATGTACACGAGGTCCATAGGCTCGTTCTCATTCCTTGCTGAGGAAGGTGTTTAGCCAGGCTTCCCTGAAGGAAGGAGGGAACACAGGAGGTCCCATTCAGCCAGAAAAATACCGCAGGAAGTTGGCAACGGAAAGCACGAGATGGCTGGTCTATGTCCTCGGTCTTGACTCCGTAATGCTGAGGTTCTAAGCAAACCCCAGAGGCAGCATTAACCTTGGGTCCTGAGGAGGGTCTGGAAAAAAACTCCGTTTCCTTTCTGCCCTGTTTGTTAAAGGCTTTGCTTTATCATGTGAGAGATTGCCCAGCTGTCCCCTCTTGCCTCTGAGAAGATCCTGCTCCAGGGAAATTAGGAAGGCAAGAAGCTGGGCAGACCCTGTGCTGGTTGAGGATGTCTCAGCTGACTCCCTGAGAGGGGGCTTTTGCCTCAATAAAGTCAGTGAGATTTCTGCAAAAATCCCCTGGCACTTCTGCAACCCTGAAGTCTTGGGTTACACATCCCAAGGTGGGCATGTGATTATTATTTTTTTTATTATTTTTTTAACGTTGAAGAAGGCTGATACTTTAAGGGCTGTGCTATTAAAAGACTGAGACTATATGGTTGGGAAATGCTTTTGTGAATTACTGCCATTAATTTCATCTCAGTGCAGCCCTACTTGATGTGAGAAAACAAGAAATTATGTCAATGATAAGGTGCTCTTGAGCAGGAGATAAAGTCACATGTAAGGAGCTACACCTCTGATGTGAGAAGTCAAATACTTCTGCTGCGTGTGCACGTCAGATTCATGGGCTATTGCTATTCCCCAGGAAAACTCAAGAGCAGGGAACAAAATTGTACAACGCACAATGCAGGCACATGTCTTCATTCAAATGACTCGGTTCTCACTTCTTCAAGTACTGCGTGAGAAATCTGCAGTGCATATCATCCCATTTGAGAAGGGGGAAGGAAAAAACCAAACAAAAGCAAATGCACAGTAGTATATTGAGAAATAGACTACTTAAAGGAGATGCACTTTCAAGGGACCGATGAAGTCAACGTTGCCACAATGCTACAACCGTACTGCTTTCTGAATGCATTTTTTAGACTGGTCTCCTTGTGATATTTCCTCCCCCCCCCCATGTGGAAATACTGAGTTACGGGTTAATTACTGGGTAAATTGTGGTGTTCCCATTGGTACATTGGTGGTGGTAGGAATGACTGGTGTAGTGCATTGCAGGAGGAGATGGGAAGTTAGGTGTATGAAGGAATGGGAGGCCAGGGAGTTATAGCTTAGGGATCAAAGGAAGACCAGGGTCACAAGGAAGTGTTTGTTGCAGGAAATGCGACATGCTTATTAGAACCAAGTATCTCCTTCCACATATCTCAGATTTGTAAAGCGTTAGTTCACGGCCTCCATAAGTTACACACATGGATGTGTCAGCTGGATGCTAAGCTTTTAACCTAGTTGCATCAAAAAACATGCTTATTCACATTCCCAAGCTAGCTTGCATGCCAGAACACTACATATAAAAAAATAATGGCATCTGTATTTCACCAGATTTTCTGGCAAGTTTCCCTTAACAAAAATAGGTATGAAAAAAAGCGTACGTTCTAATATGGCCATGGCGGGGTGAATCATAACTGAGAGCAGAGACAAAATAAGAGAGGTAGTCTACCAGGGCACTGGGAGAATCCTTGCACCTGTGAAATCAGGTGCTTTATTCAGCCAAAACTTACTCCATAGAAACCTGGCTATTATCAGTGGGAGGTGAAACACACGGCTCAGTGTTTTTTCTCCTTTGTGGACTGTTCTGTGCAGGTATTACTTCACCTGTGGGACTGGCGGAAGAGTTTCTTTCTATTACCCAGAATTTAAGGAGCAGCAACCGAGACTTTACAAGTAGTCACTGTTACAGTCACTGCCCCAGCAACCGAGACTTTGCAAGTAGTCACCGTTACAGTCACTGCCCCAAAGAGACAATGGCAATGCAGAAAGGAGGGAATGCTGGATGGAAGACTAATGTCAGCTCTTCACAAAGGTCAAATAACAAAGGCTTTTAATGGCAATTTCAGGGCTGGTTTCCTCAGGAAACTAAGAAAACCTTCCAAACTAAATGTGGCTTTTTTCTTTGGGACACATTTTTCCAGCTAGTTGAACTAACTGATATCCCATCCCTTGTAAATGGCATCAAATATCTTTAAGTGAGCATAAAGCTTGGAATGACCATCCTCAAGCAAACCTAGTCATGCCAAACGGGGGCAGGAAGGGCAGGGGAGTACAAGTTTCAATGTATTGTGGAGTTGTTGAGACTGCTGTAGGGAGCAAAAACCTCACCTGAATGCTGCATCTCCAGAAAATCTCAGAGTAAATTAACAGATTGGTGATGTTTAATGGGATGCTTAGAAATCAGTTGAGGTTAAGTGTTCCTGAATTCCTTTGCCCTACAATAGTTGGGTTAGATGAGGCAATAAATACAATTATCACCCTTTAATACTTGAGCAGGATGGATATCGGGAAACAGGCAATTCAAAATTCAAGTTTCATGGATGCTATGAGTACCATTTTGACTTCTGGGGAGAGTCACAAATAGGAATTGTCTAGCAGGAATCAAGGGAGATAAGTGTCCGGTTAATATGTTTCACATGGGCTTCCTAACAGGATAACCATTTTTTTCAGTCATCTTAATGCATAGGGTGACTGAGGTAATACTGAGAGGCATTAGGCTGTGCTAGCCGCATACAAGCACTTAAAAATAGAGTTAATGAAGGACATGAGCGTTGCAGTTCCTTGCAGAAAGCCAAGCCAGTGCAGAGGCAGGTCTTCATACATTAGTCTACTGAAAGTTCTCAAAGCAAAGGCAAAGGAAGAATTGAAGCAGTTGTAAATAAATTCGCATTCCCGCTACATTTTTCCTCGTGCCACAAAGTAATGCTGACAGCAGCTGTGAATCATAGCATGAAGGCAAGGGCCTGTTTCTGACAACAGCAGTGTGAGGGAAGGTAGGATGGAGATAGGTAGGGGAGGAATTGCCAGGTGCTTCTAGGGCATGCAGCTATTCGGAGCTATCAGAAAATAACAACCAAGATACAAAAAGCAAACAAGCATGCAGGAAAGGGAAGGTACGCCATACCAATGGGCATGGGGCATCCAGGCCGTCCAGCCCAGGTAACCCCGGCTCACCCTTCTCGCCTTTAAAACCTCGGAGACCCTGTTTATGAAATCAACCACTATCGTTATTTCAGTTAATGCCAGTCACCTCCATGTCACGGGAGGAGAGGCTGAGACCCCACTGGGACTGTCGCAGGGCACTCTGCTGCATACCCAGAATACAGATGGCCCGTGTTTTCAGTTTTACTATTGTCTGCGTAATCAGTAGTAGCAGTTTCCTTTCTGTTTTTCCGCAATCTACAAGTCAGGAGATACTTCTCCGAGTTAAATCTGAGAGGATGGGAATGGCGTTTCCTCCATTTTGAAATCATCCATTCTTCCTACCCTCACTAGGAAACCCAACAGCTGAATTTCTAGATGCATGATCCACAAGCTCTCCTAGGATTTATGGCAGTGTTTGCTGCAGCGCATGAGTTTAGATGAAAACATATACATATTGCTATATTTATTCATTTGTCTAGATTTATAGACAGTATATTTTGACAGAAACATATCCTCTCCCATTTAAAATAACTGAGATTTGTTTTCCCTCTGGGTAGTGCAGCTGAAGTGCCCTGTGTCGCTCTCAGGTGATCACATCAGCTGGCCATTATTCCAAGGCAAGAAAAACAGCATTCAGGTTTTGCTGTTACATAGACACGACGACACTAAACATTTCCAGAGAAGAGCTGTAACTAGCAGCAAAGGAGACACAGGGCTCTGTCCGCAAAGGAAAAAGCCCTGGGCTCCCAGCACATGGGACGCCCCCATGTACCCCAAACATTTGTGAGCCCTGGAAGAGGAAGGAATATAAACGTGGTTACTCAACAGCCTGATTGCTCAAAGGATCAGTGGTTCCCCACTGAAGGGAGCAGCTTTGCCATAGACTGCAGCGGGAACCAGGCTGGGCCTTATCTGAATGTTGTACTTTTGCAAGACCATTATTTAAGTTAGGATTTCCTTCCTTCTTCCCCATCAACAAATCTTAAAACAATACATTTGATGAAACAGAACATACCAACGGACAGGGTGCATCTAATCCAGGCGCTCCTTGGTCTCCCTTATCCCCTTTAGACCCTCTAGAGCCTTTCTTGCCCCTCTCCCCCTGTAAATAATAGTTTAGTCCAAGAAAAAAAGAATACACAAAAAAGCTTTAGGATCATCCATTTCAAACAAATGTCAGCGATAGTTTAAAAAAAGGATAAACATTTAGGAAACATTTTAAAAGAAGAGAAATCTCCCTTTGAGATGTTAAGTGAAAAACAATGTATGGAGCTATTAACCGTTACTTAGCTGCATAAACACATTGGCCATTGCTAAAATCCCACACTGATAGACTGTAAGGGCTCTGCATCAAAGGGTTTACAAGTGCCTCTGAACTTTATGGACAGGCCTACAGTCAGCCAGCAGAGCACTACTCCTTCTCCATCAGAACCATCATTAGAAGACTACTTCTCTGGGCTTCCTATACATTCAGTGGTGGACACAGAGGCACCTTCTGAGAACTGGCTGACCCTCGACTCACAGGATGGGAAAACACTCCTCTGGCCAGCAGCATGCCACCTCATCTCAAACTCCAGCTGGCTGGGAGGGTCCCTCCTCTGCCACAGGAGCTCCAGGGTAGCATCTAGATGCCTAGTGGCTCAGATGACAAGACCTGCAGCAGACCCCAAGCAGGCTCTCCTGCTGTAGTAGGAAGGCACTGTTGGCCCAGACTCCCTGTGTTGATGGTACTCTTCTTACTACTCTGAATTCTCATTCTTAAAAGAAATTCTCACGCATGGGAGTGTTTTTAGAAGCTTTCCCTTAAATTGTTTAATGAACAGTGTTTGCCACCAGGGGTTGCTAGATTTTCCTTAAAAGCTGGGGGTGTTTTTGTGTGGGGTGGTGGGTTTTTTTTGTTTTGGTTGGGTTTTTTTGTTTGTTTGTTTTTAAGATGTAAAATTATTTCCATATCCCAGAGCAGAAAAGCTTTAACTTGAACGAGTGTGCTTGCTTGCCTGAGTCTTACAGTGGTTTGTGCACTGGGGTGCGTCAACACTGCTAAATAGAAAAGAGCCAGAGAATGAAGGAAGTACTCAGCCCCAACAGTCTGCACAGCCTGGTTGTCCTTTGGGACGCTCTGAGTAGTACTCCCCCAGAAAAACCTGTTAGATAAGGGACTAGTCCTAAGCAGCACAGCCACAGGGCAGTGACTGGTCCCTGGCCCTCTTATTTAGCAGCACAGACATACCCCAGGAAGGTGCAATTCTGACGATGGTTTGGTATTACAATTTCTCCGCAGGCTCCAGGTTGAGTTAGACCAGAGACAGGGCAGGGGGGAAACAAATTAAAAAATCATAACCAAAGAGGAGGCTTGCTCTCTTGTGGAGGGGCAGCATGAAAAGCTGCCAGTGAAAGCCAGCCACAAAAGGGGCTGAGGGAACGCCCAGATGCCCTGTTGCCCTTCCTCATGAAGGGAGGATACATCCCACCCGTAGCAGGTCAGCCAAGGCAAGGTATAACTGGCAAATACCCACACTATATCTATACCAACTCTTTCTGTATAACAGAGGAAATTCTCAAAGCTGCTGAGCGTAAAACGGGGGAAAGGGCTGCGGCACAGGGAATTGAATTTAGGATCCTTGTGGGGAGGGTTAAAGGAATTAAGGCATTAAATCAGAGAGCACAGGTTGCTGTTTCTTCTTTTATTTTTTTTTTTAAAAGTGTTAAACCCAAAGCTGGCAAGAGAAATGGATGGGAGAGGAGAGGCAATGAGGAGTAGTCACCCAGAACCAAGCACTGGAACACAGAGGATAATCCAGGAAAATGCGGCATGGGTTGTTCTGGAGGAAGGAGGAAGGAACCAGGAAGAAAGGCGGAAGAGGAGGAAGGGATAAAGGGGACAAAGGTGGACCTGTAGGAGCAAGGAAGATGCACATACACACAAGAAAAAAAACCACAGGCATTAAAGTAACAGTGAAGATACCAGCTTGGTAGCACAAATCCAGGGGGTTTACACTTTTTCAGCTGGGTTACTTGAAAGGCCATCTGTTCCCACTGCTACCTAGTGCCACGATACTGTCTCTGCCTGTCCCCAGGCGCAGCTATGCTGTACTCCCACGCTGAACAAAGGGCAGCAGGAGCGTTTCTGGGATTTAAAAAGCACTACTGCCTAAAGTAACAGAGAGGATTTTGGCAAACCATTTGGGAGCTTAACAAAGTGGATCCTCATTTTTAATGTACTCAACACTGAAAATCTTCATATTAAAGTGCCATGCATGCTGCTGCTGTCTGAAGGAAAGGGAGGCATTTCAAATGAACACATCTCCCACTTCCAAAGAGGCCAGTGTTGTATCCCAGCCCCCTGCAAAACAGGTCAGAAGTGGAGTGTTGCCTTCTCTTTGCTCTTTCACAGCTTTCTTGTTCGTTTTGAAGTCTCCTGGCTGAACTGCCATAGTTTTGCCAGCAGTTAACTTGGGAGAGACTGTCCCACACTTCCAAGGAGGTTCTGACACAGAAGTTGTGTGTCCCACTGTAGGGGAGACCTAGCACTCAGCTGGGGATATGGGGCTGCACAGCAAATCCTGGGGAACCGGCGCTGTGTCCAGTTCTGCTAAACGGTACTTGTAAGATGTCTATGACGACTTCAAAGGGATGGAGGCATTCAGACAAAACAGCTGTATAAAGGGGCCTCACCAAAACTGTGCTGTTTAACTCCTGTAAGTAGTAGTGACCTGTTCACAATTTTTGAAGAAGGGCAAGAGTGAGGGGAAGCCTCAAAGACTAAGTGGGAAAAGTGGTATTTTCTAGGATCCCACCTGCAAAGATATTGCACTTGCCCATTTACAGTCTCAAGTTTCTTACACTTTTTCATTTCAAAATAGCGGCTGCAGTGAGGCAAAATGCATGCAATGCTTCAAGGGACCAGCAAAACTTCCCACTCATGCTTTCCAACTTGTCCTCTACAAGGAGGCGCAGTTCCTCCCAGTTTTCATTTGCTTTTGTGCGAGAGCTCAGGGAACTCCTATCAGCCTACCTACAGCCAGCGAGAGACCCTTCTTTTAGATAAAATACCCGGTTTACAAACCAACTGAAAAAGTCTAGGAATTCTGTTAAGGTTATTTTTTGTTTAGAAGCCACACAAACAAAACAAAACGCATCTTAACGAAGAGGAAGTTAAGAAGCAAAGCCAGAAATGCAATGATTAAAAAAGGGGAGAACTTTGGAGCTCCCATGAAACTTGGACCTTTCTCCCCTAGTTTAAGATGCCAGTTGGCTACTGCTTTCCAAAACTGCCCATTCTGTGCAGGGTAAGGTCAGAAATACATTGCAGATAAAGGACAGAGAACACTCACTATGTATAAAAAGCAAATTCATATAATGAAATCACTGCACAGGCACATGCACTGTAAAACTTTACATTTTCAGATAAACTTAGGTGATACCAGAGTCTTATGAAGAGAAGGTGTATGTGTGAGTACATGCATAAAGACATACACGTGTACTGTATTGAACTGCTTGACATTTATACAATTATAATCTTACAAAGACTCTAATCTAGAAGTCATTTATATTTCTAAATATAAATTATATTCAACTATAGCTCTCAACTGTTTTTATCAAAAAGATTCAGAGCCTTAACAGGCAAAGAAATTCGTTATGTTGTGGAAAATCTGATGAAAAAGCAAGGAGCTTCTCAACATGCACTTTTTAGTAATGTTTATCTCTTTATAACACAGGTGGTATGACAGAAAAGCAGCCATTCACGTTACTGGTTTTGACCCAACTCTTCACCATCACATCCATTCAGGACAATGCCTGAGGAGACTTCATGTCTGATTCTTTAAGATAGGTGAATTAAATTTATCTTTTCCAAATTTCCATGTTCCAAATTCTCTGGAGGATCGTTTGCTAGAGGGCAACCTTCTTTTTCATGCTTCAGGGGGAATTTAAAAGTAACATAACAACATTTTCTGGCTCCACCTCAGTTAATTCTCATGGGAATCCCTACACGCATCAGTAAATAGATAAGCAGGATTTCCTAAAGCATGCCACGTTGACCTAACTCTACTACACATGAAGTCCCATGCTTCAGTGAGAACAGAGCTATGACAACAATGAACACATTAGAAAATCCCTCCTATAGCTTTCAGATAGATGTACCACAATGTCCCAGCTGATTATACAAACTACAGGTATCACCTTCTAAAATACAAGTCTGTAAAATTACTTATATGAAGGTCTAGCAGACAGAATTACATGCTAGCTACTTGAGGTTGCTCAGGAGTTAACTGGTCTATCACTGTGTGAAGATGTTAGTAACTAAATACAAGAACTTTGCCTGGTGACTTACCCGGATTCCTTTGTCACCAGGTAGACCTTGTAAACCCTGAAATACATCAACACAAAAATAAATATTTTAAAATAAGTAGGCCCCATTGTATTCCCACTCAAAAAGGAGAATGTGTGCCCAAGAGTTTTGTTTTTTTCCATTTGTACCAATTACTCTATGGTTAAAAAACCCCAGAACTTTTCCAGCAGACAACCCCCTCTTCACTTCCATTAGACCATCCAGGCTGTAATACCACTACTACTCCTCTAAGGGTTCTTCAGATAAAAACCGAACTAGTTTAGAGAATGCAGTCCCTGAAAAAAGCAGCAAACTTCCTTTTTTGTGTTAAACAACGAAGCAGGTCCATGATTACATAAAACTAGAGTTCCAACACTGGCCCCATTTCACAAAAAGTAATCCCAAACAGTGGAAGTAACCTCACGGAAGGCAGCTTTTGTCACTGCAATGACAACAGGGCCTTCTCAGACAGGTGGAAGGCAGATACCCAAGCTAGGGAAAGGCAAATGGAGCGGATGCGCTCAAAAGCAGCGTTTTGGAACAAGATACATATCCTGGGAGTCCCACGCAGTTCCTTTTGGTAGTTTGAGGACCCAGGTGAATTAACAGTTTCCCTTCAGCTTCATCCACCTCATTCTGAATCATTGCTCTGAAGCTACTGAGCTCTTTCTGTTGCTCCCATATTGTACATAAGCTTGTAACTTTGCTTCTTTGACACCTAACCTAGCTGAAATTGCAAATGCTATATTACAGCAGCGTCTTAAGCTATCAACCACAGCAAGGAACCAGGCACTGTAGATAACAAATCCCTAGTACTCCCATACTTACAGGAAGTCCTGCCGGCCCCATTGGTCCTACAACTCCAGGATCTCCTTTACTGCCCTGAAATGGAGACGAAAGAGTAGAAATTGTTACGTTCCTATTCAGTACAAATAGGCAGCACAGCAGCGGCTACGGCAGCACTATAGAAGAAAAGTAAAGGATGCGTTTCAAAGCACCTAAAAACCCCAAGGATGAGATACTGAAAAATCAAAGAGGCCCAGCTGAGGGTCTTATATGCACAAGGAGACAGCAGTTCCAGCTCTATAAAAACCTAAAGCTTCTCTATCCCAGGGAGCTGTGGTATCTTCAAAGAAGTTACAGAGCATTGGTCAGTTCTGAAGCAAACTCACCCTTTCTCCTTTTGGTCCTGCTGGTCCCGAAACCCCAATTGGTCCTGGAGTACCCTGTAGTTGTAGGAAGGAAAACACATCAGGATGTTTTTATTCTGGGGGCCTCATTAAAACCAGGAGACACTGCTGCTCCTTTGGAAAAAAGCACAGCTGGGAAGGACAGTCTGGTGGTGGAAGGCATCTAGCACCACTACAGCTTTCAGTGTTGGTGGCGATGGATTTGAAGTAGTTGTTATAGGCAATTTGAAGAACATGGGAACTGCTACATTAGATCACACGAGCACCATTTTACAAAGCCTTATTTTTAATTTTGAAGCTATCTCTTGACAATTGTTGCAGCAGGCATTTCTACCAGTTCCAGGATTTTTTCTCTCTAGTTTGTATCAGACAAGGCTGAAAGCTGTAGCAGAATAAAGGCCATTTAGATATATGATAAGCAATTTTCTTTTTCTTTATTTCCTTATTTTCTTTTTTTCCCCCTGGAGTCAGTTGAGCAAAAAATGAAAGAGCTTTGTTACTTGGTGGCAGGCAGCCAGTCATGCAAGCTGAAAGACACATGCTGCAGAGATGAATGCAGATGCATATATACACAGATGCAAACTAAGAGGGGTATCATTCAGTCCCAGTCCCTCTGTTCCCTTTTTGCCATTTATGTCACTCCACCAGGCTCTCAATCATGCTAACAGGAAAACCCAGTCTTTTTGCTAACCCTTTGACACAGGGGCCATCTCCCAACTAGCATACCAAACCTACTTCCCAGTGTTGCTGAGACTTGCTTGGGCTTTGGGAAATCAACCCAATCAAAGCTTATCTTTAATGTGGACAATACAGCAGTTCGGCAATAGTCCTTCTGGCTAAGAAAAAGCTTCAGGCACTTTCAACCCTGTATAGACTCCTTGAACTTGTTGTGGAGTATTCCCTGTTGGAGGGTCTCTTACGACTCTCCTAGACCACATTCTGCAGTCTAGATAAAGTATAGCCTTCAAATCCGTAGTGTGTAGTACACCCACCTACATAGTATAGATAGGCGTTTACCTTCCTAACCCTACATCACATACCTTTAGATTGGCAGGAACTTTGCTAACCATACAGGCATTGATCTACAATTCTTTCATGGAGCCTCGATAAAGGGATACTTTTGAGGCCCATTACCTGTTTTGTGGGAAGAACAAAGGAGGAGGTTTCTGGAACAGGGAAGTCTTTTTCTAACAGCCTTAGAAGAAGGGTCTTGCACTTTTTAATGTGAGCTTGCAATCCTTAGTCACTAAAGTAACCCCTCCGAGTTGAGTAGGATGACTCATACGGATCAGGAGAGCTTTTCAGGCAAGTTTAAGATCTGCAGAACATAAGTGGAGAGGTAGTCCATGCAGCACACAACTTCAACGCTATGAAGGAAGTGAGGAAAATCAGACTTTCCTTAGATCCATGCACAGGAGTTCACATCATGGAAATCTTAATTGCCTGCACATATGCATCATTTTAAGATCATTTAGTGCCATGAAATACATTGAGATCACACCTGTACATTTATAAAATTAAATCTACAATTTCCCAAAACAAGTGAGTGTATAAGCTGCCATTCAGATTGTGTTCAGAAGTTGTACAGCAGCTGAATTATTTCCAGTTACACTGAGGAGAAATTGCTTTTCCTTTTTAAATAGCCAAATAGATTGTACATGGGTGATGCATGATTTCCCAAGAGAGATTAAAAATATTTGGCCCTTATTTAACAGCTGTTACCCAAGAATAGCAGAATCGTTTGCAGAACCAGGTTAGCATTACTTGTCTCATTCTGAATTTGACAGACTGAGAAGCTTAGGCACAAGGATTTTATTTCCTTCACATCTCACACTGAGTTAGCAACAAGAGGTGGGAATCTTGCATCTTCCTGCTCCACTATTAGATGTATATATTAGATATACACTCTCAGATGTATATATTAGACTGGAACAGACACCACTGCCCCCCACCCCCAGGTATCCGGGACAGAAGGAAAGCACATTTGGAGTTGCTGAAGTCACATGGCATTCTGCTGCTGAGAGGTGAAGGGCTAGTCCTGCTTGCAGAAGGTCTTTTAGATGCAACTTCTCCTCGTGGCGAGATGCTTACCAGGCTATGGAGAGATACCTGTAAGCATACCCGCAACCCATGGCAATGTAGCCTTAAGTGCTGTGTGTGAAAACAACGCACAAAGCTTTTCGCTCACAGGACAAAACACACTGGCATTATTATGCCTAAGACAAAACTGAAGAGCTACTGTTGTGAAAAGGCAGCAAGCAAGGCTACCATGGAGAACAACAGGATGGAGACCCCTCCCGATAAAGAGGACAGGAGAACAGAGCATCATAGAACCATGCAGAGGTTTCATTCATCTTGTTATTGAGACAAAGTGGAACAGATAGGCTGTGGTCCCAGGATCCAGTCTGACTCAAAGTATCAAAAAAGACAAGTATGTGACATCACTTCTCAGTCTAAGTTACCCCCCCCTCCCAAGCCTGCTTTGGAGAAAAGAAGGTTATTCCTGGTGTAAACAAGACTCTGGTGGAAGAGACGAGACAAATCACGATACTGGGGAGGAGGAATGTAGGGTAATGGAGAAATGGAACTCACCGGTGGTCCAGGCCTGCCGTCTAAACCTGAAGCACCCTGAACAGACGGGGGAGGGTTAACAAAAACAAGGCAAGAGGAGAGGGGAGGAGGGTGAGGGGGAAAGGAGAGGGGAGGGGAGAGATGAGTGAAGCAGTGACTTGAGACAAACATATGCTTGCAATAAACAAAAATTAAGATCTCAAGGACAGGTGATGGTACTTACAAGCAAACCAACAAAAACATAGAAACACTGAATACATATAATGTTGACCTGCAACTTTCGGATCCCCTTAAGAATGCAAATTTCCCTCTCTTAGTGCCACTAAGAAAACCTCTGAGGAAGAAGCTGCTCTGTGACAGGTGATGAAAAGGCCAATGTGACAGTGAAGTTGAAACCTGCATTGCCCTAGTGGCAGGCTGGGCAACACAGATGAGACACAAGGCTCAGGGGCTCAAAGGCCTGTGGTCACAGAGGCATTTGCAAGCAGTGCAGAGCCATCAGCAGTTCAAGTTCCTACCAACAAACCCAGGTCCTGTAGGTGCACACTTAGTCAGCTGCAGGCTTGCTCTACTCTACATCTCTTGGCCAGAGGAAGAGGTGAGGAGCCAGTTGTTTGGAGGTTTATAAAACAGGTGGCTCATCTTCCTATGTCACCAGAGCAGACTTACACCAGATTGAGATTAAGTGGAACTTTTCTGTCTGCTTGGCTCTTGCCCTGAATTTCCTCATCCATAAGACCGAGCAGTGGTTCTGCCCAAGGCCCATCTAGCCCAGTGTCTTGTTTCTGACAGTGGCCAGGAGAGAAAGCTTAGGTAGACTATAAGAACTAAATACTGAGTTTTCCTCCACTTGAGTATGACAAATTCCTCAGCTTATTGGCCATACAGAGAAGCCCAAGGCTACTGCAGACAATCAGTGCTGAAATGTGCTGAAAATTCTGGCATGATGTCAAGCCCTAAGTCACACATGAAAAGGCAGCAGATACAGCTGTGGGATTTTACAGTCTGTCTTTGAAATATTTCAATACCTGTTTGGCACTTATTAATACAACTGCATTTAGTTTGACAGGCTGAAAACACACTGGATCAGGCATGGAAAAGCTTATGAAGAGAGTTAGGTAGCTCTGAGGAGGGATACAAGGTCCACAATATCTCTCTGGTCTTATTAACAGCTCAGTAACTGTGCTTCCTAGTTGGCCAGCTGCTATTGTTGATCCAAACACAAAACATTTCTAAGAGGACACTTCTGAGCCAGTCTTCCCCCCCTCCACAGCTCAGGAAGAGTTATGCGAGAAGCCAAGGGACCCTGGTTTCTCATTGGGCTCACTGCTGTAGGAGAACCAGCTAGCACATTCCCTGCCACACTGATGAGCTTGTCAGGCTAATTGCTGGGGCATCTTCTGCTCAGACTGTCACAGGGACCTCCTTCCCCTGTCCTGATACCACACAGACTTGAGGGAATAACCACTTACACAGAAAGCTTCCATTTGCATTTCTCAGGGCAAAATGGGGACTGGGTTTTTACTTCTCGCTGCTTCACTGAGGCACAATCCTTTGCATTTGAGCCTTCCGAAAGCATCGCTTTCTCACCACTGGCTCTGCACGGAGCCACAGTGAATACACTCATGATGAGCTCACTTGAGTGCCTAGAGTTAGACGAGATGCATCAAGGCCCTGGAAGGTAACTGCTATATAGCACAACTAAAAGAGGAAAACATTTTACAGACAAAGACACACACATTTCAGCCAAAGTCAGGGACAAGGGATCTGGGTGATCGAACACAGGCTGACAAAGTCACACAGTACACAAGATGCGCTTTGCAGTGCTTGTTTCCAGGCAGTAAGTTCAGCAAGCGCTTTCTATGAGGAGAGAACTTGGGGGCTGGCAGAGCAACTGGGTGGGACTCAGTTACCACTAATTCATTATCAGCTGTCAGCTGAGTCTCAGACAGTGGGTGAAGAGGCTTTTAACAGATATGACCTAAGAGCTTCACAAAGTCTTCAGGTTCTAAAGCTTCTAAAGCTCCAGTAGCTTTTTCATAATTCTGCCAAAATTCCTCCTTGCTAAGCTAAGCAGTGCACTAACAGTAGTCTAGTGTGACTGAGTTCACATACAGCAGGGAACATAGCAGGCTTCTACCTCATCAGGGAAGGCATTGATTCCATTGCAGAAGTGATAAGAAAGTATTGTCTAGTGAAGAAGCTGGATGCATTTAGAACCACCAAGCTTTTGTACTAAGCCTGGCCCAGGTGACAAACTGCTGGGAAGGTGTTTCCTTTTCCACATCCTTTTGACTTCTGTTTCTGGTTTTGCCCCATTGTCCTGAAGTGCAAAGAACTCACAGGAAAGCTACTGCTTGTTTTTCCCAATCCTGCCAGAAGCAGGAAGAATTAAAGTGATCACTGATCTATTTAACAGATCTAAAAGGTGAAGGTTCTGTACAGAAATTGAGGCTTTAAGTTTAAAAAGCAAAGGCACAGTTATTTATAGATCATCTCTTTCTTTGACTTTACGTATCAAATCCCTGCGTGCATCTCCTATTGAGGGATCTTTTTACAGCTGATATAAGTTTGGCTCATAAAGCGCTGCTTGCTTCCTGGATACTTACAGGTAATCCCAGTGGCCCTCTGTCTCCTTTTTCACCCTGGGCACCCTTCTCTCCTTTCATTCCATCAATCCCTGCTTCCCCCTAAAGGAAGGACGGAGCAGAAAATAAACCCACCGTAACACCACTTATATAACAAACATTCCTCCCTTCAGAGAGCGCCGAAGCGGCAGAGAGAATACAAGAGGCAGTGGAGCAATGCTTTAGCCTGTTTCTCAGCCCAATCTGAAGAAAATCAGTATCGGTCAAATGACCTTTGTGTGAGCACCTGTTTTAAGTCAATGGCAGGTAAGAGGAGATTCAGGCCCAGTGGGTAAAGATGGTCAAAGGGGAACTGAGCTCACTTCTGTGTTGCTCTCCCTGCTATTGCAGGGAGTGTCAGTTAAATATAAGTAACCAGAAGTTATCTGACAGGATGGTTTAACATTTTAAGATGTGGATTCATTGGAAGTGAATGACAGGTGTCTATAAGCTTCGAAAAAAAGTCATACTGAAATATTTTTGGAAAGACTTTTGTAAATGCAAAGGCATCGATTTCAAAATTTGGGAAAAAGTGTCATCATTCCTTTTCCAATGGTATTTTTTAAATTCTGTATTATAAACTATAAAGCAGTATTAAACAAAATACTCCTTTTTCATAAATACAAAATGCAACCCAAAGCTTTTTTCCCACCACACCTGTTCATAAGGCATTTTAAAACACTATCTTGGTTGCATTTTGAAACAGAAGTGTCAGAAGAACCAAGTTTGCACAGAAACAGTAAGCCTGCTTGCCGTACTCTTCTACAATTCTAGGACAGCACATTGCTGGCTCACTCTACCAGCATTCTAGTTTCCATACAGCCATGTGTCACTGCCCTACAACACTATTTGGCTCGAGCACATACCTGGAAGAGTTACTTACTTCTGACATGTCTGCAAAGGGTATAAAATGCTCAAGGCTCTTCCTCGCCACTACTGAAAGCCTCATTACAAAAAGACTTACTGCAAATTGCACAGATGGAACAAAAACTTCCACACTCAGGACATCTCAATGCACCTGCTAATTAAGCCTACATGGATCCTCTGTTCAAGAAGAAACTGGTGCAGTACTTCCGCTGTCTATAATGCGGTCTGTGCTGTGCGAGACTTTCACCTGCATTTGTCTGGCACATATTCCAAATACAACTGCACCTTATGGAAGTTTCCCAGACACGTGATAGCAGTGGCTAGTGAGTTAGAGACAAGCAAGACAGATAACTGTATCTGTAATCAACACCTGGAGAAAAGATGAATCAGGATAAATATACTATTCCCCTTTAACATCCAAATAGCACTGGTAACCAAATACTAAGCATAACCAGAAGAATTAAGACACTTTCCACATTTTCCAATCTTTGCGAAGAATGTCAGAGGAAAAACACAGCTCTCCTTGAACATTTCCACTCAGATATGTTTTCATCTAGGTACTGTTTTATGGCAGGCAAACCAATGGTGCAGGCTGAGCATAAACACATTTAGATGGAGATTAGAAAGCTTCTCATCACCAAGAACAGTGAAGTTCTTGAGTGGCTTTACAGCAGAATTTACAGGGTATAGAACCTGGCTAATTTTAAGCTAGAGCTCAGTCACTTAGGATTGTATGACAGGCTGTCCATCCCGCTGTACAGACCTTCACCCTGCAGACAAAGATTTCAACTACATTCTCATGGGAAGATTTCCAAGGGCCAGTGGCTTCCCACTTCTCTGGGTGAAAACTGGAGAAAATGACCAGTTTTCTGGGTCCTAAAATGAGAGCTGCTAATCCATTTCCTTCAAGAAAATATTCAGAAGTATTTGTCCTCTTACCAAGACAGTAAATAATGTTTGCAAGCTAGAAGGTTGTTCAGAAAAATTCTTGCACCTGGGACAGTCTAGTAGAATTTCAGGATGTAAAGTTTTGCAGCCTTACCTTCGGTCCTGGGAGGCCCTGAAGACCCTGTATTTGGGATGAGAGACGAAATATGAGTAACGTTTAAGGATGTGCTTTAAAATCCAGGTATCCCAGTTCAGAGTGCAGCATAGAGCTTTCGCTTTCTGACACACTGAGGGCACAAATGCTTAGCCCAGAGGCCTCTTTATTCGTGTAAAGGGCACTTCATGTACTGTTCTCATCTGGTAATGAGGAGGCTCTCACCACGAACAACCTGGCAGTGGGCCAGGCTTGCTACTAAGACCATTTTTGCAGTTAATCCCTTTAATCCCATCCATCCCCTCTTGCTACCATCTTCCCTTTCATCTCAGACTAACATAACCTTCTCTCTTTACCTACCCAGCCCATCGTAGCTCTGACCTACCCTGGGGGATGGTTCTGGAATCATAGAATCATTAAGGTTGGAAAAGACCTCTAAGATCATCGAGTCAACTGTCAATGCAGCATAGAGCTTTCGCTTTCTGACACACTGAGGGCACAAATGCTTAGCCCAGAGGCCTCTTTATTCGTGTAAAGGGCACTTCATGTACTGTTCTCATCTGGTAATGAGGAGGCTCTCACCACGAACAACCTGGCAGTGGGCCAGGCTTGCTACTAAGACCATTTTTGCAGTTAATCCCTTTAATCCCATCCATCCCCTCTTGCTACCATCTTCCCTTTCATCTCAGACTAACATAACCTTCTCTCTTTACCTACCCAGCCCATCGTAGCTCTGACCTACCCTGGGGGATGGTTCTGGAATCATAGAATCATAGAATCATTAAGGTTGGAAAAGACCTCTAAGATCATCGAGTCCAACTGTCAACCCAACACCACCATGCCCACTAAACCATGTCCCTAAGCGCCTCATCTACACGTCTTTTAAATACCTCCAGGGATGGTGACTCAACCACTTCCCTGGGCAGCCTGTTCCAATGTTTCACCACTCTTTCAGGAAAGAAATTTTTCATGTCCAATCTAAACCTCCCCCTGGCGCAACTTGAGGCCATGGAAGTGATACTAAGCCTGTTCCTGTTTCAACGCTGCAGTGTTTCTGGCTGTTTTCTCTGCCCAGAATCCTCCCCAGCCATTTCCCATTCTATCTTCATTCCCAGTGCCTTGCTCCTCAGGTGAATCACTCAAAACTTACTGGAGGTCCTGGTGGGCCTTGGGGTCCAGGGGGGCCAGATATCTAGAAAGCAATGCAAGAGAAGTCACTGTCATAATCTGCTGCCCTCAGAGGTGAAGGGGAACTGCTCAGAGGGAAGGCAGGGCACAGGGTGCAGCTGAGCTCTGCTGGGCTTGGAAACCTGGACTTCCCCTAAGGACTGCATTAGGAAGTGGCAGCAATCCAGGACAGAGAGGCTGAGAAGCAGCAACAGGACTCTGGGGAGGGTTATGCAGCAATTGCAGAGATTTAGGAGGAAGGAGAGCAGTGATTTTTTTTTCAGAAAAAGGTCCACTCCCACTACTCTACCACTGTTCCTGCAAGGAGGCACAAGGTCAACAGCTAGCAGCTGTTTCAAAGATAGGAAAGAAGGTGGCTGGCTCAACACACGCAGAAAAGTATTGATAGCCTGTGGGACTGCTTGCTGCAGGGCGCTACAAAAGCGAGGAGTGAGCTTTGAGGGGAGGATAGACAAATTCATGGAGCCAAAATCTATTGCAAAATATGTATATGTAGATACATGCAGGTATTGTTCAGAAAATCCCTTTACCGCAAATGCTGAAGAAAATATTTGTTATGCTTTACACGATCTTCTATTCTTCCCTAGGTGTTCAATATTGATTGTTTGTCGTGAGCTAGATTGTTCTTGTGTAAAGCAAAAGCAGGGCATCAGGAGCTAGAGGTGGCTGGCAATTCAGTCCCACAAGATGAGGCTTGCTATCCTCAATGAAGGATGTGTGTCATAAGAGGGTGAGATGTGTTGGTTTTCATCAGCAGCACTGCTGCCAAATCATCCCTCCCCTACTGCTGAGATTGCAGAAGGAAAGTGAGAAAGGTGACCTACCGATTCTCCCGGATTTCCTTTGTCTCCATGCTCCCCAGGCTCGCCCTTCTCTCCCTGCACACAACAACAGACCCTGTCACCACCAGCTGCGCTCTGGAGTCTCGCTCCTTCAGGAGCCATCTGTGAACGACCCGTATGTTGAGAAGCAGCTGTTCCCCAAAGGAGGAATAGGAACATACCGTGTATTTCACAAACAGCTCACCTGAGGCTCTCCTGCATCTCTGCTTCCAGAGGAGACACCCTACAAAGAGGGAGGCCTCCAGGAGTGGTATCTCATGGCTGTGCAAGGGGAGTGCCACAGGACTTTGCTTGCCTTTCCCCTAACAGTGGCCTGACACCTCTCTGCTGCACTACAGCCTCTAAGGGAGGGAGCACAGCAGGAGGGTTGGCAACAGTGCCGTGCTGCCAGCAAACTAGGCGTCTCGGTTGACTTAGCTACGCAGGCCCTGCAGGCAGCTGCCAGAGCCAGAACCTCCAGATGGCAACAGGAGCAGATGCCCAACTGGCCCCGTGCCTGCTGCTGGAGACCTGACCTGATGGACATTTGGTGACACCCAAACACCTAACTCTAAGAGGTAGGGGTCTGAAGCTCCCGAGATACTCGGCGCTTTGGGGAAAGAACTCTTGTGTGTTGCTCTACATTGTTTTCTCTTTGCCAAGCAGGAAAGAGCAGCCTGTCTTTTTCACTCTTACTGTCAGTCCTGGAAGTCCAATGGGACCCGGCAATCCTGATGGTCCTGGCATCCCTTGGTCACCTCGTTCACCTTTCTCTCCAGTGGGGCCATCAAGACCCTATGGATCAAGAAAGATTTGTGGATTTTTTGCAAGACTAATTCAGGCAGACATAAGAAACATCATTGCAAGAGCTAAGACTGGTTCTGGTCATCTCAAGAACACACTGGAAACCCCAGACAACCATCAGATGCCCAGGGAAATGCAGCCGTCATTGAAACTGGACATGCAAATGCCTGAACATCCTCCTGTCATTGTGGATGTGCCAGTCCCCAGAGCAGGGATGAGGGACTGCTTTCCTGCCTCCAAGTTCTGCTCACGGTTATGCAGTTTGCTGGAGTCCGTGCTAGAAATCACTCCCCAACAGCTAGCTGTTGTGACAGCAAGAGTTTTATCCTAGTAATCTTGTAGAGAGGCAGAAGCTTGTTGCACAAAACCCTCTTGACTAGTGCTAGGGACACAGAAGTTGTGGCAGACTGAAGCTGGGAGACTGGGCACTCTGCCCCAGTTAGTGGCAGGGATGTAACGGGTACCTCAGCTGCCTTGCTCACAGTCAGGCCTGCTTGCTTACAGTGGCCTTTCAGTTTAAGCAATATGCCAGTTTAAGCAATATGGCAGGTAGCAAGCTGAGGAAGTGACACAGTGCCCAGACAGCAGGGCAGGCAGCTGGGGACAGCCACTCCAGCAAGATGGACAACACATCTGCCAGGGAGCCAAGACCTTGCTTCTGTATTGGTACACTTCATACAACAGCGATGAGGTGCCTCCAGCACCCACCTCTGAGGGCCTCCGAGATATCCAAGAAGTCCCAGGGCCTTGCCCCATAACCTGGATAGCCAGCAGTGCTCTGAGAGGCTTCAATTTACTCACTGGTGAGCCGGCTTGTCCTGGCTCTCCTTTATCGCCCTTTTCTCCTGTAACCCCGATATGGCCTGGCTCTCCCTTTATTCCAGGTGGTCCATCCTTTCCTGGCAGTCCATGAGGGCCAGGGGGGCCCATTTCTCCAGGCTTGCCGCGTGGTCCCTAAAAGAAATCCACACAACACAAAGTGAAACATTTACAGATAAGAGTAAGGTTACTCCTGCAGAGCGACTCCCTGGCCTGGAGCCTCTTTCACTGCTCATCCTCTCACTTACAGTAATGCCATTTGAGGAGCCATGGGCAGCACAAAGTAGATTTGCCATGCCATCCCAGCTGCTCCTTGTAAGTTAGAACTTTGATAAACCATTAATGCTCATTTTTGTGAAGCAAAATACTTTTTTCCCCTGTGGGAAAAGCAACTGTGCAATGTCAGTGACAGAGGTGGAACATACTAACTCCAGATAAGACCACTGAAGGAAAGAGCAATCCACAGAGGCACCGTGTCTTACCTTTTCTCCATCATGGCCTGGAGGACCTGGCAAGCCAATTTCACCCTGAAACACAAAATTGTTACGTTGGCAGTTTGAAAGCAGCTATTCTGACTCCTTCTGTGTGGCATTGTGATGATGAAGGGTAGGCATTACAGAAATAGTCTGCAGGGACTCTGGTAACTAGTAGTCACAGAAAAAAAACCCATGGAAACCCCTGTTGAAACAATACATTGTGTGACTGCCTAAGAATTTCACCAGCCTTGTTTATCCTGACTGACGGTCACGGCCCCAGTGCTATAACATAGTCCCCAACCAACACAATCACCACACAGAGATCAGTTCCCATAAGATGCTTCCTGAAGGGGAGGACAAGTAGAAAGGATCCTTCATTTTTCAGATAAGGCATTATCATTGTGGGAAAAGATTTTCAGGATATCGTGCATGAGGAGGAGTGGTAGAGGCCAGCAGGACAGTCTGATAGTGCTGGTAAGGGAGAATAGGAGCACTGGGGAGGGTTGTGGGGCGGAATTCAGCCTGGACCACTCCTGTGTTTCCCTTAGCTCTGCAAGTGCTGAGCTAAGCAAATACCTTCTGTCCTGGTGGCCCTGGAGGTCCAGCCACACCTGGAAGTCCTGGAGGTCCCTAGATAAAGAAAAAATCATTTTCAGATTATCAACAGGGCCTTTATTTTCATGTTTTGAAACCAAATAGCTCTTCCAAGTTTAAGGGGAAATCGCAGGGGAATTTTCCCAGGGACTCCTAAAACTGTATTTGCTTGGGAAGCTGAGCAATGGAGAGTCCTGAGAGAGCAGCACACCAGTCCAAAGTGAGTTGTAGATAGAATCTTAGAATCGTTTAAGTTGGAAAAGGCCTTTAAGATCATTGAGTCCAACCGTTAACCTAACACTGCCAAGTCCACCACTAAACCATGTCCCTAAGCACCTCATCTACATGTCTTTTAAATCCCTCCAGGGATGGTGACTCAACCCCCCCCCTGGGCAGCCTGTTCCAATGCTTGACAACCCTTTCGGTGAAGAAATTTTTCCTAATATCCAATCTAAACCTCCCCTGGCGCAACTTGAGGCCGTTTCCTCTCATCCTATTGCTAGTTAGTTGGGAGAAGAGACCGACACCCACCTCGCTACAACCTCCTTTCAGGTAGTTGTAGAGCACGATAAGGTCTCCCCTCAGCCTTTTTTTCTCCAGACTAAACAGTCCCAGTCCCTCAGCTGCTCCTCATAGGACTTGTGCTCTAGACCCTTCACCAGCTTCGTTGCCCTTCTTTGGACACACTCTAGCACCTCAATGTCTTTCTTGTAGTGAGGGGCCCTCACTATTTATAAAGAAAATGTATTTCTTTACATTTTCATGGAAGAAAATGAAAATTACCACAGCCATCTGCTCCTGAAACTGAGGTGAGCTTAATAAGGTTTTCCCTTCCTATCTACAAAAGTATATTTTTAGAATAGACATCATAGGAAACACTGTACTACTTAGATCCCAAGCACAGCTTAAGCAGAGCTAAATGGCACTAGAATTTTGAGCAAATTTCCTGATCACTTTTGGCAGTTACCACTTTAAGGAGACGTAGGGAGCAGTTTGGCCTAGCGAGTGATGCTATGATGCTACCTACACCCATTTTGTGCTGCCCTGTCATACTGCATTTTAAAAATCCATCTTTTTTCCTAACCAGGTTTCTTGTCCTGAGAAGCAAAATACAGGGACACTTTTTCCCTTATTTTGGCTCAAAATAACCACTTTGCCTTTGTCTTCAAAGGGCTCATAGTCACTGCTGTTTTAAATGATTGGTTTTGTACAGGACTGTTATGTCAAGTTATACTTACCAATGGTGAAAATATGTCCTCCCCTCCCATCACAGAAGTGTCCACCACAGACTGTCAGTATAAACTTTCTTGCAAGGCACCCAAGGCCTCCTTTTTCTCTGCTTTGGTCAGCCCCCCTTTGCTCTTCTCTGCCCCTTCTGAGCAGTCCCTGTTCTGAGCAGCATGTATTACCTCTTAAAGCAGAGAAATAAAGGGCCTGATTATAATTCAAGTGCCAAGATCAGAAGGCAAGATGAGCTCTTCCTTCAGCTGTCAACTGCCCCAACTTTAGCTCCCAGCAGCAAAGGGCAAATGTTTTAGCTGCACCTAAATAGTTGGGCTGTCTCCTTAGGATGAACATATGGCTACTTGCTTAAAACCACACAGCAAAGCTAGGAACTCACCATCAAGGCCAAAGTTCGTATTTCCTAGAAAAAAGTGAAAAAAAGTCAAAAAGGAAAACAGCCGTTTGAAAACTAAGCTTTTTTCTGGGGGTGGTTTGTTCTCCACTAATGTAACACTGGCCCAAATGAGCAAGGGGCCTACAAAATGAACAAAAGCAAAAAACCCAGCTCGGAGTCCCATGGAGCTGTTATTCTATGATTTCTCCTTTTTCCAAGTAGAACCCAGGCTAACCCAGAGCTGGGCACAGCTGCTCACTCACTGCACACCATCAGCGCACACTTCTGAGGAAGCTTTGCAGTCCTTTTATTCACTATCTACCCCAAGCCACGGCCCACTCTCGAGGGGATTCACATGACCTCTATGTCCACACCAGCATTAATATATCGACTAAACAAGGTGCACACGTATTTACCAAAACACTATATGCAGTGAGCCGTGGGATGAAGGGGACTATGGAACAACCAAGTGCTTCCCTTCGCTGCTACTGCCGAGGAAGCAGATCTACATTGTTCCCGGCTTTCTGCATCCCCTGGGAAACAGTAAAGCACCTAGCAGTCACCTCATGGGACAGGAGGGCAGTTGCTCACCTGGAGAGCTTCACTGATGTTACCATCATAGTCCATCATTTCATCCTTCCCAGGCTCTCCTTTGGGGCCCTGCAAAATACCAGATCTTTAGCCAGGGCCTGAGGATCGCCCTTCTCATGAGGTACTCAGAGCTGAGTACTCAGTGGTTCACCCTGAAAAAGGGGTCCCAGAGGGGCCTGTTTCATGAGCCTCCAGTTTTTCACTTATTGAGCAAAGCTCTTGAAAACACATTTTATAGAGGAAACACTACCAAAGTGTAGCCAGACAAGCCCAGATCACCACGCCATGACCATCAAAGCTGGCAGGTCTGATAAGTGGTGAAGTTGAGGCCAGAATGCAGGAACTGGGTTGTTTGACTGATTGTCAGACTTGGGCATGCACCAAACACCCTCCTGCTGCCCTTTGCCAATATGCCAAGGGCCTGACTTCAGACTGGGGTGTCCAGACCCACCTCCTCCTACAATCGAGCCAAACATTCACTCTGAGGTGGCTCAGAAGACTTTTTTCCCCCTAAGGTGGGGGTGTCTTCTGATGAGGGTATGGAGTGGAGGAATGGCCTGTCTCAAACTTAGCCATTGCCCAGCTATAAGCACTTTTAGTGATGGTGAAAACATCTGTCAAGAAAGCAGAGGCCCAATCTAGACTGTCAGTGTGGTCCCACTATCCTTAGACCCCTTTGAAGGGCCAAAACTTTTCAAGTGTTAGTGAAGGGACACCTACCCTTGGGCCCATGGGTCCCTGGTCTCCCGGTGAACCAGGTTCCCCCTGTAACAAGAAGAACATGCTGTTAGCAAAGTCTATCCCTTCACTTGCTTGAACTCCAGAAATTGTTGTTCTCTGCTAGTCCTCTGAAACAGTCTGGGACTAGACAGCTCAGTTTTAAAATGCTCCTTTTCAGGTAAGTTTTGTACATGTAGGAACAAGTTTGCAGCTATTGAACCTGGAGCTGGGTTGTGCAGAAGCACTCTGTACCTTTTCTCCCCGTGACCCTGCAGCACCAGGCCGGCCAACATCACCAGCTTCTCCCTGAGAGAACGAGAAAGGGAAAGGGATGGGTTTGTATTGCATGGAGGGGGTGTGACTCCACTGCTGGCTTTGCATTTCCAGGAGGAAGAACTGCACCAGCCAAGTGCCCCTGCCATGCCCGCATCTCCTCAGGTAACCCAAATCTCCTGCCGTGACTTCACACAAGCTGCCCTTCTCTTCTACCCAGTGCAGAGGGAGTATTCAGCATGAAGAAAAGCACCCAGTTCAGACCCAAAGTAAGTGCAGAGGAGGGCTGTTCCAAGTACATATGAGACAGGACCTCAGATTTAAGTGTTCTTGGTGTCCTTCACCAAGTGGCAGGATTTTACTGCTGCTGCTCCTTGAGAAGGTAGAAGAGGAAGGGGAGAGGAGACTTGGAGGGCCTCCGTCCTGCCTCCCTGTGTCCACCCTGCCTCAGGTACCACAGGAACTAGAAGCTGTCATTGATTCTGAGCGACTGGTTTCTCACAGAGCCTAGAGGGGAGTTATTTGAGCACAAGGAGGGTATTTTCCTCCCAGAAACAGTTTACAAATTCTCTCACCTTCAGCATTTAAAACAACAAAACTAAAACACCCTGCAGAACCCCATATCCCTTCAGCAGGTAATCAGAGGGCACAGATGAATGCAACCTTTGCCCCTTCCTACACACTTTGTGCTGGGCACAATCCCTCACACCACACAACTCACTGGAGGAAAAGATACTCACCTTTGGTCCAGGGGGCCCAGGCAGACCTGGAGGGCCAGGTTCTCCTTTACCTCCCTCCAGGGCATTCTCAGCGTTTCCTTTCTCTCCCTGTTTGCAAGGAAGAACAAGCCACGTGTCACAGTTCAGCCTCTCCATCTCTGTAATTTCTTTTGCCAAACTGTTGGCTTAGAGAGACAGGGCCCAATACAAGGTCCATCAGCTGGCCTCCTGATAGCCCAGAAACATCACTGCTCCAGAGCCACCAGCTGCCCAGGAACCAGGCCAATATAGTTCTGCCTGGGGGCTCCACCTAGAGCCCTGCCAGCAGTCACAGCTATCATCATACCTTTGGCTGCAGTGCTGCTGCTCAGCCCTTATTCCCCAGGGCCATATAAAGCTGCCTGTGGACAGACCTCATCCCCCAGCCTCTAGTTGGAACACAACTGTTTTCTTCTACTGTTGAAATTGAGCTGATAAAACCACCTGACGATGCTTTTTTTGGTATGTCTCCCTCTGGAGCTGTGGTCATCAGCCAGATAGTCAGCCTGCAGACCACATCCTTTGCCCAGAGCAGATACAAAGGCAGTAACAGGAAAGCTTTGTTTGCACCGAGTTGCCATTACACCCTCATCCTTTCCTGAGATGGCCACTGTCGTTCAGTGCACTGTCCCCTTTCCCAAAGGAAAAGCACCTTGTGAAAGACTGACTTGAAAGGTATGATTTCTATCCACATCTCAGAGCACAAGGAAAAAGCCACAGCTTCAGAGCTTAGCTTTAGCTGACATGCCCTTGGTCTCTCTGAGCACAAGGCTACTCTTCCAACCCAAAGCACAGCAGTGCAGCTCCCAAAAAACTCATCTCCTCCTCACACGTGGATCTTAGAGCAGAAGGGAAGCTGAAATGCCATGTTACATCTGAGGTCATGCTTTTAAAGGGGGGCTACTGGAACACGATTCCCTCGTCACTTTCCCAGGACCACAGCCTCCCCCTCACTGCATGAAGGCACGCAATTCCTCACAAAAAGGCATCCTTTTTGTGACCCTGTCACATCCCTGCCTGGGGTTTCTTATGCGACATCCAGCTGAGCTCTGCAGAACGTGCTGCTGTATGCTGCAACAGTGACCTAAGCGCACAGCTGGCACAGGAGGGAGGAAGAAAAGGGGATGAGAGTGGCCCCCCCAGAAAAATCAGAGAAGATACAGACCTTCGTGCCAGGGAGTCCAGGAAGCCCAGGGTCACCAGCTCGTCCCTTCTCACCCTGTTGGTAAAACATACATGGTCGGACTGACTCTGCAGGCTCTCTGTCCTGGAGGATCAGCCAAAGGATGAGCTGCTCCTCATCAAACCCTCTTTCCCTTCCCCAAGGGATTTTATTTTAGGCACAGACAAGGCATCCTCCAGCAGCACCTGCCCAGGCCAGTGAATGTTTTCTCCTGTCCCTTTGACTATCTCTGCACATCATTACCATTTCTCTCCAAAGGAAGGTGAGTGGGAAAGGCATCCAGGAACCCCCTGTGCATCTTCCTCATCACTCTGGTCTGCTAAACCCTTTTCCCTGTCAGCCCTTAAGCACGAGCTCTCCCCATTCCACACATCCAGAGAAGTTGTTGCTGCCCAGGGCAAATTTTATTTGGAGTGCAGGACTTTCTCTGTGCCCTGATAGAGTTCAGCTCTTTTCACAGAAATTGTCTACTGCTTGAGTCCATCCCGGTTTTCACACCTCCTCATTACACTGTGAATTACACTGCTTTGCTTTGGCAAAGATCTCACAACCAACACTCCCACACCTCTCCCAAGGGCCATTTCCTGTTCCCTAACTTCAAATCCCAGTCTCACCATGTTCTTAAAAAAAAACTCAACAGTGCAGTGCCTCAGTTAGTTAGCAGCCAAGCTCTGTGACATGCAGTGGTGGTGAAAAGCAGTGAAAACAGGAGTGGCAAAAATGGCAAAGACAGAAGAGGATGGTGTAAAACCCCTGATACAGTGCCTAGAGAGCAAGGCCTGCAGGCTGAGCTGCGGGAGGCACCATGGAGTATGGAGGATGCCAAAGGGCAGTGAGCAATGGAGGGTATCCAGCACCCAGCATTCACTTGGTGAAATGACTTTGCTTAGTTCACCATGACATCTGGGTCATCTTTTGAATATTGGGGCTCAATTAGTGGTCTGTATGTTGAAGTTAAGTTCTATCCAGCTGCTAAACCCATGGATTCCAGCCACAGTGTCCTGTTCAGGCGTTTGCATTTTGCCAGGACAAAGACTGATATCAGAGGTTTCTGTTACCATGAAGAGATGTTTCAAATGCATCATCAGAAAAAGGTGTGTTCTTACCTGCAGTCTTCACACCTCACACCTTAACAACTTGTACAGATTACAAACAGCAATTCAAAACCTCTTTCCCCCAGGAGGTGCCTAGCTCTCTCCACAACAGCAGCCCACCAGATCAGCAAGGCTAGCAGAGTTCCTCTTAGTGCCACACCGTTGCCTGCAGAGGCTGGTGTCACACACCAGTCTTGTCAGAGCTCAAGGGCACACATCTGACATGCAGAGGGGACTTGCATCAGTGCTCCAGGAACAGACATGCACTAGTGGCTCCATGGAAAATAATTAACAAGCAGCAATCTTTTTTTTTTTAGGCAGTTCTAGAGTGCAGTGACCCCTTTCTCTAAGGTAATTTGGCCTCCAGCCACCTGTAAGGCCCCCAACCAGCTTTCCTCCCCTGCCACAGCATGCACATTGCTGCTGTAAATTAGTGCTTCTCTCCCTGGAAAGAAGGAAAACATTTGCAGGACTTCATGCCCAAAGAAAAGGTTTGGCCTTTGGGGTTTTTGTAAGAATATCATCTCTAATCCTGTCCCAGGCCTCTGTGAATCCCTGATTCTGCCTTGCTCAGCTTTGGTATCCTACTTTTCATTCAAGGACTAGTTTTCAGTACACATGCCCGTAAGGGCTACTGAAAACATCCTGTGCTGCCTGAAAGATGATGTAAAGAAGCAGATTTCTTGAGGAAGGAGGTCAGATTACTGAATCCCTGTTTAGGGTGTTATTTCTGGAGTCAAAAGATGCAGCACTGTCCTTAGTCGTTCCCAGGACAAGATGACATCCCAGGCATCTCACGCTGCCCTGCCTGCCACTGGCCCCCCACCTCCTGCAAGCAGGAACACGCAAACACACTTCACCAAAGGGGGCAAGAGCCAGAAAAGGACACATAGTTCCCCGCAAGCAAGACAATGCAATGCAAAGCAGGCTCCCGCCAGCTCCTGCTCGCAGGGAACACAGCACAGCACTGCCAGGACACCAAGCCCAAACACACAGTGTCCTACCCGCTGCCCCCTCTTCCCTGGCAAACCTGGGGGGCCCATCCTCCCTGGGACTCCAGGATCTCCCTTCGTGGGGAAGAAAAGAGACAGAGAACGTGTCTGTTACATGGCTGTTGCATACTGTAACATAACCCAGTGAACCTCAAACAAGAGGAGCCAGCTGTTCAGAAACCAAGCTGGCTGCTTAGTGACGGAGAGCGATGGGGTATTTTTGTACCATGCCCACCACAGGAACTCAAACCAGGTCACGCTACACTGAGACAGGGGAGACTGTGCAGGGCAGTTCATACGGTGCATGACAGAACAACCCCCTGCAGTAACATGGGAAGACTTCTGGTGGACACAGAAGTACTGGGAGGCAGAACGGGAAAGGGAACAGGGAGAGGGAACATACTTGCTAATCAAAGTGTGCTGTGCATATTTTGTGGAGTAGGGAGAAAAGGAGGAAAGCAGTTGGAGATTATTCCCATCAACACAGACATGAGCAGGAGGCTGGGAATCTGTTTGCAGTATGGTCCCTCTCTCGCTTGGCATCACTGTATGCTACTACCATTTTGCTTACACTGGCAGGTGCCATTAGGGCCTCGATTTGGGCACTGGGAAGTACAGAGCCATTCCTCAGCTCCCTCGGCTGCTCTGGGAGGGGAAAAAAAATAAAATACACAAACAAACCAGAAGTGCAGGCTTAGAGCAAAGCCTTCTGAGAGTACCTTTTCTCCTGGAGTCCCAGGCTCGCCCTGGTGAGGAAGAGACAGGAAAATAAAGTGAAAAACCAGGAGAAGAGAGTACAAAACCTTCTACAGCTATCAGAGTGGAGGAAAGACCATTCATCTATGGAGGCCTTGGGCTTGTAAATAAGGGCATGAGGATCCTTTAAATGCATATTATTATTTGTTCCTGGAGCTTGTTTTAACCTCATTAGCTAGCTCCTAGGCTGCTGTAAGAAACCAGCAAGCCTCAGACAAGAGGCTTTTATGAAACTGAGGAACCACCTTGCAGTATTTCAGGAGAAGGTTTACCAGATACAAGAGAGCATAGTAAGACAAGACTCCTGCTGGCATTAAGGAATTTGCCTACTCCTAGCTCTGTGCGCACAGGAGCAGAGCAAGGCTGAAGTTGCAGCTGGGGTAGGGGGGAGGCTGTGTTGATACGGGATCAATGTGGCACCAAGGAGGAAAACCCTCCCCACCAGCCCTGGAGATAACTTCTTTATTTCTGTCTTTTTTTCCCCAGCAGCTGGAGGGAATCAGGACAACAGGTCATTGTCTCATTATGCATCTTGGATCCCCGGGGTAACTTCTAGCCCCCTAAATCTGCACCTGGCCCTTTGCTCTGTTGCCATCCCCACACTGCTATGGAGTATCACGAGTTCACCAACCTCTCTGCCCAGAGAGGTGCAGAGAAGCAGGGGTGCTGCTGGAGACGGGTCTAATATCTCTGCCAAAAGCAATAGCAGTTCTGATATTCCCCTTTAGTGGGAGCTGTCCGACCATTTTCCCGTGCCTTGTGCTCTCCTAACTCCAGCCCTTGCTCTTAAACGTGCCCTACTTAAGCCATTGCAGTGTAGTGAAAAACTGACCTTCATCCCTGCGGTGGCCATCCCAGGAGCGCCCTGGCAGAGAGAGGAAAGACAGGAACACCTTGTTTGAAATGAATCGGACACAAACTTTTAAAAACAAAACAGTATCAGCCAGGTGGAACTAAAAAGGCAAAATCCACATCTTTTCCTTTCCAAAACTCAGAAGTAATGCTGTAACACCACACAGCACGCATCCTCCTTCCCTGTGCAGGTCATTCACCTATGACAGTGGCTCTGCTTTCCAGAAAGCTTCTCCAAAGGCACACATCATGAGCACAACCCAGTCAAGACAACCAGATTTACACACACACACACACACCCCTACCCCGGTTTTAGTCCTGCAAGTGAATCAAATGCCAACAAGCAGAACAGTGTCAAATACCTGAGGAATGCAAAGACAGACTGAGGACCAAACACCCAGGTCAGCACTTGATCCCAGATACATCAGCTCAAGCACCCCGAGAAGGACCAGCTCGTACCCCAGAGCCTTGGTCTTGCTATTTCCCCTCATTCTGTTTTTATCACAGAAGACAAACCCTGCAGTAAAATGTTTTCAGGAGAGCTCTGAAGCCAGCAACCT